AAGACTTAGCTGAGGACCCTATCCACAGCTGTCAACGTAGAACGATGTTTCCTAAAGCCATATTGTGTCTCTAACAGTGCCTCTTTATCTTCAATCTCCTTGTTCAATCTGTTTACTACTACGCCTCCAATAACTTTTGCTGCTGTACTTAGAAGTCAAATTGGTCGAAATGCCGCAGGATCTGTCTTATTTTCTAGAATTAGAACTAGGTTTGCTTCCCTCCATATATCTGGGAATTTTCCTCTCCGCAATATGTCGTTCGCCAATTTTTGAAATATCTTTGGCCATCTTTTGATCATTATTCTGACTACTTCCATACTGACTCCATCGGGCCCCGGTGCTTTCCCTGGTGCTATTTTGTTTCCTGCTTCTGTTATTTCTTCTAGTGTTACTTCAGGGATGTCTCTTTCATCAACCTCGAGCATCGTATCACCCCTCCGCGGTTGCATAAGGAATAGGTTTCTTACCGCTTTGATCACTATATCTGGGGAGATTGGTGGTGATTTTTTCTTTATTTTGTCCATCACTATTTGGTAAGGGAGTCAGAAGACGTCTCGGTCGACTGCTTCAATGAGTTTCTTCCAGGATTTTTCCTTACTGTTTCGAATACTCTGTCTTAGTTTATTTCGGGCTTCCTGGTATTCCCGGAGTTGTTGTATCGCTCTTTGTTCTGTTTCTAATTGAAGATTGTTCTTGCGTCTCTGCCAGCTTCTTGTTCTTGTGTATGTACGCCTTTTACTTGCATATTTTCCTTAGGTCTGCGATTTCCTTGTTCCACCAGTGTTTTGGGCGGCGGTGGTATCGATCTCTGGGCGATTGCCGATCAGCTTTTGTGCATGCGGCACTCATAAGCTGATTGAGTCGTTGCGCTTCTATCTACATCCCTTCAGTTTCCGTTTCGCTTGCCATGATTTGTTCACACCTTCTGTCTATTTATCTTCGCAGTATTGGGAGGTCTAACTTCCTTGCTTACCATCTTCTCGTTTTTCTCTGTATTCCTTCCGGCGGGCTTGTTTGCTCGACTTGGAAAAATATGTAGTGGTGGTTACTACCACTTTCTAATTCGTCCAAGACTCTCCACCCTGTTGTGAAGGCTGCTGCTTCGTTGTTTACTAGTGTGATGTCTATGTGAGATGGGTAACAATTGTGTTCGCAAGTAGGAGCCTTTCCATCATTAAGCATCGCTAATCCCTCTGTTGCCATCCACTCTGGGGTCGTTATTCCTCTTCGGTCGTTGCTTCTGCTACCCCATATTGCATTCTTGGAGTTAAAATCCCCTGTGACAATAATCTTCTTCCTATTATCATGTCGTTTTACACTTTATCCTAGTTCCTCAAGGAATTTCTTAAATTCCTCTATTATTCTATTGGGCGAGAAATAGCATGTGTAAAATACTGCCACGTTTTCGATCTCCGCCCATGTAAATCCGTTTCCTGCTCCCTTTCTTCGCATTATCGTGTTCCTCATATTGCTCCAGTATATAGCAGTATCCTTTTTGTCGTTCGTTACTACAATTTTCTTACCATTGGCTATTCTTTTGTAGTTCGGTTCTGATTATAGACAAAGGTGTATGCCGTATTTCTGGATTGTGATTTCCAGTGAGTAATGGGCGGTAGACGAGCGATTGAGATTAATCTGTAGGAGTTTAAACTCTGTCTGCTTTTGTTTCCTTCGTTCTTCAGTGGGCCGTTTAGCGATCTTTTTTACGGATGGTATTATAAAATTTTCTTCGTCTGTCGTTGGTCTTTTTGTTCTCTTTTCCTTCTTCTGTGTGTCTTCATCTCTTTTTTTTACTATATTTTCATTGTTCTCTCTTGTTTTTGTCTCTCCTTCTCCGGTGGAGAAAGGGGGCAGGGTTTTGCTGCTATTTTATTGTCGTGCTTTCGTTTGGCCTGGTCCACTAGAGTTCGATATCTAGGGCACCGCATTGATGTAGCCCTGTGACCCTCCATATCGCATTCGTAGAAAAGGGGAATCACTCTTTCGCAATTACTTGTTGTATGTCCCGTGATTTCGCAGTGAATGCATCTCATTCCGTCCACTTTGGCTTTTTCGGTGCATTCGTGGGTTCTGTGTCTTACTTTCTGGCATCTGAAACAGTTTGGTATCCTGACCCATTCCCTTATCTTGCATCTGTAGGGCCCCATCTGTATTGCTCTTCTTTCTTTTATACTCTTTGCCAGGGCTGTTGGTATTTGTACCAAAGAATACCAACTGCTTCTTGTCTGGCGAGGATCTCCGGTTGTTATGTCCGTACTTTCTGGCAATCTCAGCGCTATTTTGATGTCGTTCGCTATCTTTCTGCCCGTAGCCAAGGAATCTACATCACATATGGCCAACATATGCTGATTTGTCTTCATGCTTACATTTAGAGTCATGCCCTCCTCTTTTCTGAGGATGCTGGCGATTTTTGTAGGTTCGTCTTTTATATTTCCCTGTACCCGTAGCTGAACGTCTCCTCCTGTCCCTTGGGAGATTCCTATTTTTCGATCTATTTTTGTGGGTCCTAATTTTGTGCGAACTCCCGTCAGAACCTCACTGTAGGATCTATTTTCTCCCGCCTTTATCCTTATTGTTGTAATCTCTTCGTAGTATTTCCCTCTTGTTATCAGTTTTTCGATTTCCTTCTTTTCCGTATTTTGTCTTTGTGTATTCTCCTTTTGTTCTCTACATATATTAATATCGCACCCAAAATATCTGCCATATACTTCAAGTAGTTTTCTGTTGCTCTCGGTGTCAACTTGATCGGTTATTTTGATTACTGGTGTTGTTTGTCCTCGTTCATCCTTTAGGGTTTTGACTACTTTCTTGATCATTTTTGTCAGGCCCTCTTCTGTCTCTTCTTTATTTATTATATTCTACTATTATATTTGTTTTTGCGTTTTCTGGTATTTCCTCCCCTTCTGCGTGTCCTGTCATGAGGTTGAAGGAGCTGCTGCTCGTGATTAATGCGATACTACCCGCTGTCAGTTTTCCTACTTCCTTAGCTCCATTTACTTGAACATTTAGTTGTTTAAGTAGCTTTTGATCCTTCTCCAGGCCTCTTTCAATTATCAACGCCCTTGTGTCCTTAATGGCCAGTATGTTTTCCTTTATTATTGTAACACGTTTAAACACTTTCCGTGACCATTTCTTCCGAGCTACGCGATTAAAGTCTCCTTCCGTTTTGACTGCGGTTAGTTCCGCTTCCATTTCTTTTTCTATCCTTGTATCTTCGATCTCTTGTAGGCGTTCCTTTTCAACCTTCTTTTTGCATCTGTTAGATGTCTTCTTTATTTTCCTTGTGTGTTTTCTTTTCCTCTTTCTCTTTTTTCCCATTTTGCATTTTCTGTGGTTCCTGTTCCCCCAATATCGTGCCTTTTTGTTCCTCCAGACTATTTCTTCGTTCGAGTTCAGCCTTTTTTCTTAGTCGGTTCTTATCAAGGTCCTAATCGCTCTGGCTAATTGGCTTACGTTTTCCTTGATGTCACTTGGCGTGACTTTATGTTTTTTGCATAGGATTTCTAAGATTCCAGAGAGCTTTTTGACTGTATCTATGGCTTCGTCCACACTTTTGGATTCTATCCGTACTTCTTCTTTATCTTCTTTTCGTCTCTTATCTGTTGGACTTATGTCCTCCGTATTATTTACCGAAACTATTTCTTCCATAGTTCTTTTTCTTGACACAGCCTGTTCCTGTGTTTTACTTGGGGCTATCCCTTCGTAACTCATATGCATCTCTTCCTCATGTCCAGTCCTATAGGCCTGCTGTTGGGTCTCCCCTGGGTGGCCCTTTAGGAATTGTCCATCTTGTTTTCCTATGACGTCTTTGTCATATTCTTGTCTTGACCCTGGAGGCATTCCTTCGCGCAAGGAAGATTCTTCATTTAAGTCTCTCCCTTCTTCTTCTCTTCTTCCTCGTTTCCTTTCCTCATATGTTTCTTATTTTCTGCCAGGGTTGGGACCCCTTTCGCCAGTGGCACTGTGATACCGGCATTTACTTTAGTCTTATCTTCCATTTTGGTTTCTGTTTATCTTGTTCTGTTTGTGGGTCGCAAGACAGCGTCGGTTGTTCGAACCGTTAGCTTTTTGACATTTATCGAAGGACAGGTTTTTACACGTGTGGCCTCAGCAATGCCCCCCCCGTATTGCTGCAGGGCCCCTTCCGGTTGTCATCCGGCACTACAACAATAGCGGGATTTTCGATCAGTTGATGGGGCACCCAGGTGATGTTGACTAGACGCCCCGGCCCCTACACTACCTGCCAGCCCGTCAGTGCCTCACGATTTTTGAGCGGTACCCTCACGTTTGTCCTTGTCCAGCGACTTGTCTTATTTCCTCCGGTTCTCCCGAATACGGCGCTTTCTATCGTTGCTGCCCTACTCTTTGCGTCGTTGAAGCCCTCTGAGTTGGCTTTTCTCTGCCGCTAGGGTCCTTGGGGTCCATCGTTTCTATTTCACAATAAATGTGTGAGAGAACGATGGGTATTTCCCTGGGGGCTGTTTTGGTCCGCGCCGGGTATAATTTCCCGGTATCTATTATATCTGAAAGGCCTTTCCCTATCCGCCACCTGGGGACGCGCCCGGTAGGGGTCCAGCAACCCCTTCCAATCGTTAATTATTTCCTGCTTCCCCAAACGCTTAGGTAGTTCCTATGTTATATGATTGCTTTACAGCCATGTCTCTAACTGAAACCGGGTCGCCAGTTAGTAGTGCTTTTCGACGTTTTTCTCTATATTATTCATAGTGATCATAGCTAATACGCAGCGCTTGTTAATTGTCACATGTTGAATTTAAACCCACAACTTTTGATTTTTCAGACAGTATTTTTTATTGTAATTAAGACTTTCGAAGTCTGTACCAGCTAGCGAAATAGGCAAGCTCTTCCGGGAGAAGCTTCTCATTCTAGTACAAACATTATTCAAGGAACAAAGATAACACCTGCTCTAAGTTGAGTTGACAAACACTACGCTGCATTTTCTGTTCGAGGTTTTGAGGTTAAAGAAATGCTACGGGTCATACCTTCAGAATTCCGATTCTCCCGCTCATCCGTTTCATAGCGTACGCAAGGAAAAAGCCCGACACGTAGAAGAACGTATCAACGGCTAGCCAGCCGTTATTGAAGATCTGATTTCGATAGTATCCGACGATCTCGCGCGAAATTCGCGCGTACGCTGGAAGAACGAAAACAGTTGAAGAGGTATGGTAAAGCATATGCCGCCAGGAGTGTGTAGGATTTAGAAGCAGTTTGCTTTTAACAGAACGAGCAGAACGATTACTTAATTGGTGGCTATCAATAAGTGCACAGAAAGTGAACACAATGTAATGGCCGACATCTTTCATCCAAACCAATTACAAAGGAAGCGGCAATGTGTTCTCTGTTAGTTCTTCTCATCTAGCTGCTAGTAATCAACGGGCGATTGGGCAGGGAGAAATAAAATCTTTAAATGTTGTATTAGTTAACGTACCTAAAGGTGACAGCATCTGAGAGATATCATCGCTTGCTAATATCCAGCTATGTTAGGTGTTTTTTTTTGTTAGTGTCTGAAGAGTGCTTAGCCGCAATACCGGACACGACACTCGAATTCAACTATCCTGGCTGTTTCTCTACCTATTTTGATCTTCAGATTTTGGATTAATGAAAAACAGCAACGTATTTTCTACCACTGAACTGGTCACGCGATATCTTCAATGGCACGTACAAGTTATGACAATATGGACGGCAAACTATAATTTAAAGCTCGGCCTTTAGCTTTAAAGCTTTAAAGAACGCATATGAAAAAAGCTTATAGTTGAACGACGAAGAAAATTCTCGAAAGTGAGAATCATTCCTCTAAATATTTGCACACTTTAAAATAAATAAGACCTGCTATTATCTTTAGGAACAACGAGATATCATTTGTTCTTCTCGAGAACACCTTCTCGGACAAAACGCGTAATAACTAGTTTTGTCAATCAATCGTACTTACAATATACCGCAACATCGTTATAGGCGAAATGATGAACCCAGATGATCCAGACGACGGTAGCTGCGCGCAGTCCATGAAAAACTTGCAGATCTCGCGACACGTCATCTCGAGGAGGATCCACTACAAGAACCTATGCAAGGACATAGGCAGGAGTGACGAGAGCTGGTTATCACTTGCGTTCATGAACTTGTTGGAACCGAACATGATTAGAAAAATCGTGTAGTATTCAAAAATAGGACGGTTAGTTTACCGATTAATATAGGACTATGTGTACTTTATAGCAGTGTCCGAGCTAAAAACGTTGTTTACGATTACATGCTATAATCATATAAGATGCACGTTCGATTTTTGTCAGTCTACATTTCGACATGCAAATTTATTAATGTTTATTTTCAATATGTGTTATTGTTTCAAATTCAACTGTGACCAGCCCTTCAATTGTGCGGAAGCTCGAACAGAATTGAAGTTATTTTACCCTGTTATAACTGTCAAATGTCCAAACGGACATGTTGCATATAACGAGACGTCAACGCACAAACCTTTCTAGCCGTCTCATATGCAGAAAGCGTTAGAAGTCGTTTGAGTAAACGATGAGTGGTTTTTAGGGGTTTGTCGGATGTATAGCTCATTATCCACAGACATGCATGCACCGTTGTAGCTACGATCACCGGAAGCATCAGAGTAGCCAAGAACAGTCTGTAGATCATGGATAAACGAATATTGCATTCATTATGAGAATATGGACGGTACTAGATTATAGCGTTTTTGTCTCGGGTTCGGTCACTGTGATCGGACAACAGATTTGATGTACTTGATTTCACTCGTAGACTATATGATTTTTATCGAGAGCATCGTACTTAGTAGTAAACGCTTCAGCTAGGACGTCCTGGATGTTGAATGGCTTTAATTGTATGAGGTGCTAGGAGAAGGACTATCTGAAGGTCGAAAGCCTCAGATTCACAGTAAAAAGCTTGAACTATTCAAAATCGTCACTCGAATAGCCGCAGTTAGCATATAGCGATGTTGCAGATATGCGGCTAGCCGATTTGTAGTTTTCCTCAAAAGCTACAATGCTAAGTTAGTCTTAGAACTTGTTATCCTATGATGACATTGCCCCCATGGCTAGTTTTTAATCATTGATAGCTTTTACAGCGAATGCAGAAGTTCGTTCGAATGTGTACATATACAAAGTGTTTCGACGCAGCCCTGTGGGAAATTTTTTAATGGTTCCGTATGCTTTAATTCCATTTTTTTTTTTTGATAACTGTCCGTTCAGTTTGGCATAAAAACGAGGAGAAATAATCAAAATAGATCTATTTCAGGGGACGATGTAAAAGTTCGCGGATCGTCGTTGTAATTTTGAATCAGAATTTGATCTCCTGAACAATATATTTTTCTAAAATTTCTGTTGCGGTCCTTTGAAAATAATCGCTATTAGTTGCG